TAAAATATTAAATTTTAAAAAAATATATATAATTTTTTAGTAAATAATTTATTATATAATTTTTTAGAACTTAATATCTTATTATTATTCAAAATTTTTTTATTATATATAATAGTAATTAAAAATAATACATTAAGAGCTAAATTATTAATAAATAATAATAAAAATTGAAATTTTCTTTCTATATTAAAATTTTAATTTTATTAAGAAATAATTTTTATTTTTATATTAAAATAAAGTTTTTAGTTATAATTTTAATATATATTTTTTAGATTTTTTTTTAAAGAATTATTCTAATTATAAAGTTAATGCAAAAATTTTTACAAATAAAAATAAAATTTAATTAATAAAAATTTTTGTATTAACTTTACAATTAGAATAATTCTTTCAGAAAAATTCTAAAAAATCTGAAAAAAATATATGTTAAACTAATTAATAAATTTTATTTTGATATAAAAAAAATTATTTCTTAATAAAATCATAAATTTTAATATAGAGAGAAAATGTTAATTTTTACTATGTTTTATTAATAAATTTAGTTTCTGATGCATTACTCATTATAATATAATTTATAATAAAAATAGCAAAAATTCATAATGAAAATAGAAGTATTCTAATTAAATTATTAAAATTTATTCTGATTTTTATATTTTTATTAAATTACTAAAGAAAATATTTATTTTTATTTAAAATATTTGTTTTAAAGTTATATAATACATGATCTATTATAAGATATATTATAATATTAAGATATATAAAAAATCATTCAACTTTAAATACCATATAAAACTTTTTAAAATAGAGTTTATCTTAATTTTTCTAATGAAACTTCCCAAATTTAAAGTTCTGTATTTAACATTTAATTTCTTTGTTTCATAAAAAGTTGATCTTGTTGCACTTTATTATCTGAAAATTATCATAAGATTATGAACAAAATTTAATTAACCATTTAATCAGATCGTATAGCAAAGAATATTATTTCTATAAAATGCTATAATTTCAAAATATAAAATAATTTTGAGTTAAATAAGATAATAAAATGACTTTAAATATATCTTGCAAACTTTCTATATGATACGCAATAAAATAAGAAAATTCAATCGTGATATTAGTAAATTTGAAATTGTGAAAATGTTTGCGATACCATGAAATCAGAAAAACTTAATCGAGAAATTTTTCTGAGTAACCCAATACATGTATTTCGATTGCGCATTATGTAAGCATGCACAACAATATTTCACCATTGACCTCCGCAAAAAAATCACCCATTTTACAAAATTCGCATAGATCCAAGTGGGAGATCTAAGTGGCAATCTACGTCATTATTATTAAAATCAGTTTATCAATGACGCCATAGTGCTTTTTTAATTTTCTATCCAAGCGGCACATAAATAATATTAGCAATGATGAAAGCACAATCAAAGATTGTTATCGTCAATCAGTATGACTATCCAAACGAACTACTGACGCTATTGCAGTATTGGAATAGTCTGCTAAATGCGCTTTAATTAATTCTTTTTTAAGGGATAGACACCTTTTTTGGATTGATGTTTTTTCTCTCTTTTAGTTCTGCCTTGCTTTTTGTCTCTTCTTCATTTTTGCCAAAAAAAAATCCTAATAATAATATTTTCGATTGATTCATGATTGGTCATAGAGAAATAGAGAGCAAAAATATTAAACTTTAAATTGCACGTCCCCATACACATTTACATCAAGAATCAAAGAAAAACGCGCTGCATTTATTATAAAACAACGTCAATTCAAGTGTCTTCGAAACCGGAGGTTTATAAATCGAAAGATAACGCAAGTTTCTTTGGAAATCTGACTATACCTTCTTTTTATCCATATCAATCGTCGCGTATCAAGAATATATAACATTTATTTACTACTATTACCGCTACTACTATATATATATTAACATTGTTGTGGTGGTTATGGTTACCTTGTTTAGTAATATTTCGATTCTAAAGCATAACACAGAAAAATCTAGGAAAAAAAGAAAAAATGTGGAAAATAAAATGTGAAAATGTATGCAAGGTTTTTGATTGGTTGCTTCCGCAGGAAATATTAAGACAAGGTGAGTATAAACTATCATTTCTGACTTTACCAGAAATACCACGGACAACATTTTCTTCCCCATATCTTTAGTTCCTTTTATTCATGAATATTGTATAACGCAGAAATAAAAAAAGATCACTCGAAAAGACGAGCTTTACTACAAGCACGAGCCGTAGTCACAGTAACGGTTTCTGCTTTTTTCGCACTAGTTACACAACTTTTTCTAGATACGTATTCATCGTTAAGGTTTCATGAGCAGTCATCATCGGAAATTATACGAGAGATCACTGTTCTATTGTTTACTTGGCAGGTATCGCTTTTGGGGAGTTTGATCTATGCTGGTTAGTGCTACCTAGTTCATTTAGGTTAGTTTTGTAATTTTAGAGCACGTGATAAGGGCTACTAATATATACGCACGAGCAATATAATACATGTAGCAATACTTTTTGCAATTCGATTCGAGAAACTAAGTATTACATATGCAGCAAAATTAGGAATTTATTCCTTCATTACGATATCTGCGTACGCGGCCATCTTTGGAAATGGCAAGTGTTTAATCCAATAATGATTATCAAGTCATAATATGAGAAACTCATTCTTTTCGCTCTCACACTCGTGTGTGTTTTAATTTCTTACGTGCATTTTTGAAGCAGGATTTCATACACTCAGTCATGCAAATTTTTTCGCGGTCCCTCCATTTGGGTTAGTTGTTCTACATTTGCAAGATTAAATGTTACTTTTCTTATTTATGATCTATCTCATCTTACATGTACAATAAATGGATGTTATTAGATGTATATTTGTTTCCAAAAACTTTGGAAAGCAGATATTGCTTATAGTTTGTGTTGTCTACATCGTTGCTTTTTGGCGGTAAGAGTATCAAAATTTATTTCTTGATGATGAATTAAAAATCTTCAATAATCTATTTGAATTGTTCAATGGGTTACAGATCAATCGGTCGCGAAAATAATCCACTATCATTCTCATCAACTGGTTGGGTAGTTTGCGATGTGTATATCTTATGTTTTGTGTATTTTCTTTTTGTATGTATGAATTTTAAATCAAGTCACATGATTATCAAAAAACCAAATCACGTGATATTTAACTGGGAAATTAATTCGATTTAAAAAGGTCGCATATGAACAAGAGTTTGCTGTGAATCAGGACAACATGCAAAGAAGTTTAGATGAGGTAAAAAATTTTCTTTTGGTCTTGTTTATCCAAAAGTGTGGGAATTTATATAATTTATTGTGTAAAAGGCCAGATCAGCGGCAACAGCAAAATCAATGTTCATTTCGAATGTTAGTCACGGTAAAGTACTTCACGTATTTTATTATTGACGATCTCATGTGTTACAAATATCTCATTAATTTTTTTTCATGAAATATAGAATTACGAACGGTTAGTAAAGAAATTATTATCCGTCATTAATTATTGTTCATGCTTGGTTTTGAGTTTTAATATTATCTATAATACATTTCATGGGGTTGCCTTGCGATTAAAGCCATTACATGGTAATTTACTATATTCTTTTTCTTTGATGCATTTATCTTTCTCAATTTCATGTAGTTAATACGACTTCAAAATGTAAATACAGGTATATTGGCAACGGTCGAAATTCTCGGTAAAACAAAACTAAACGAATCCCAACGCGCACTTCTGAACGCGATCGAAAGCTGCGGGACGAACTTAATTTCTGTAAAGTGTTAATGATTTTTTTTAATTTTTGCTTTTTGTTTGATTCGTTTTATTATATGGCCTTATGCAAAATCAATTTATAAAGTTAGATTCAGTTTTCTTGGTTTTTCGCATATATGTAATCGTCGTTCTTGTGTTTATATAACACATCATACAGGTCGTCAATCAAGTATTAACATTTGCTAAAATCGAACACGGGAAAATTGAATTGGAAAATAATGTTTTTGATGTTTTTACGTTGATACAAGAAATCGGGGATGGTAAACGATTAATCATACATTTATAACTTTTTTTCCTGGAATTTTCACAAAATACAGAGACAAGATCATCAATTAATACAAGTATTTTTCTATTTTAATAATAGGGTTAGCACCTATACCGGAACGTAAAAGACTCGATTTCATTGTTTTTTCGAAAGTGAATCCGTTGCATCGGTTTATGATTGGAGATGTGGGGTGTTTACGACAAATAATATTAAATGTATGTAGCAAAAAAAATTATTTTTTTTGTACTTGGTTTATGTGAAGTAATTAATCATTTTAATAAAAAAAATAATAGCTTTTAGGAAATGCGGTATGTTTGAATTTTACGTATAATACGATAATTGATCAGTGACTCTTATCGGCAAATTAATGCAATGTTTGATTAATAATTTCATTGATTGATTTAACTTATTAACTTATCAGATAAAATTCACTGATCGCGGAAAAATTAAACTAAACATAACAGAGCTAAGTCCAGACGACGAATTAAACACGGGCGACGAACAACAGAAAAAAGAAGTTACCAAAAAACTAAAGGCTACTACTAGTGATGGCAAAAATATAGAAGATACTTGGGAGAAAGTAAGGATTCGTATAGAGGTTGCTGATACTGGACGAGGAATCGCTCCTGATTTCTTGGCACACATGTATCAGCCATTCTCGCAGGTAAATTTTGTTAACAGTAATGATATGTGCGAATAATAAAAAACTTGGAATCGACAGTCGTGTTGTTTACGTAGATTTATACCAAAAGAATATATAATAATTTTATATAATTAATTAGGAGGATTCATCGTTACGACGAAAATTCGAAGGCACAGGGTTAGGACTGAGTATAGTAAAAGGTGTGTTAAATGCATGAATCCCACAAATACAAAGATAAAATTTTGTTAATTTTCATGATAATCGCAATAAATCAAAAAGGTCTATTGGACATGATGAATAGTCGTCTCGAAGTAAAATCCGACACCAAAGGCAGCAACTTTTCATTCTGTCTCACCCTTCCAATATCTCCTACATTCGAAGACATGTGTGCTACCTCACTGCCATTTTCGCACGATCACCTAAAAATATCGGCACACAAACAAGAAGAGCTCATTGCAAAGTTACGATCTCTTTCGTTTGTCATTCTGAATCGTTCGAATTTTTTGTTGTTGCAGCGAATTACAGAGTATTTCACCGAATGGGAGCTCAATTATCGTCTTGTGGAAAAAGAAAATATGAAGATCGAGTGCTCAAAAGAAAACTGTGATATTATTATACTGAATGATAATATAGCTGATTTACAGTGGTTCTTGAACGAATTCAATACGCAGCAGCAACCTACTATTACTGCCACCTCGAATGGGATCGCTAGTACTGCTGCTGCTAGAACTAAGCCAGTGACGGCTATAGGTACCCCGAATACTTCATTAAGAGAAAGACAAGGACAGTTAACGTCGACGAAGACAGCAATGCTACCTAATCAATGTGTAATGATCTTTTCTACAATTGCAGAGTATCATAAAGCTGAAACTATTTTGAAAAAGTTTAAGCCACGATCAGCTGTGGTTGTATCAAAGGTAATTATATAGTTCGTGAATTAGTGTTGTAATATCTTTTCCAATTATAATATATCATAATTCAAAATATATGTTGATTAGCCAGGAGGTCCAGTAAAAATCTTTACTGCAGCCATTAAAGCGATGGAATCAATTTGTCCCCAAAGAACCGTAGCGACCACTTGTTCTTCACCTTCCGATAGTAATAACATGATACTTCGCACAACTGATGAAAAACAAAACGAATTATTGGAACAGCCGTTCTCTTCGAGTATTTTCGGTTCTGCTGCGAGGAGTACACCCAATGTCTCGTCCCAAGAGATCCATGAGTTACAATTTGAGGAGCAGCTTTTGCCTCCGCCGCTGATTAAAGATGAAGAACCGATGCGTCAACAGATTGAAAGGAAAAAACCCGAAAAACAACAAATACAACTACAACAAGAAAAAACGATTAATAGTATTAAAGGAAAAAAAAAGCAAGAGGAAGGGGTAGTGGACATTGTAGGCGAAGAAGGGGATGAAAAAGTGAAAAAGAGTAAAAAATTATTGGAGGAAGGAGCGAAAGAAAAAACAGGCCAGGATAAGTTCTCGTTTTTAGTGGTAGAGGTGAATAACTTTATATTACCTTTCTCTGAGATATGTAATTCTTATAATAATTTTGTAATAAATATTTTTTAAAGGACAACAAAGTAAATGCCATGATCTTGACAACCATGCTCAAACAAGCACACTACAAAAATTACGATCTAGCCAATAATGGACTCGAAGGTAGGTTGGTTTTGTTGCAATAATTTCCCAAAGATATTTATTATCATCATTATTATTAGCTGTAGAGAAATTTGCTCAAAAAGACTACGACATAATATTTATGGTGGGCGTTTTTATACATTTTTATTCGATTTCTTTTGGTCATATTGCTAATAAATGAGGTTCTTCGAAGGCTAATATTAGTTCTATTATATTTCTTTATATCAAACAACTTTTTGCTTTTCCATTTACATGTAATCAATGAATTCACATAGGATCTACAAATGCCTATTTGTGATGGGGTGAGTTTCTATTAAACAATATATACTTCTTTATTTTTAAATAATTATTCAACTTTCTGCTTTGAAATACGCAGATTGAAGCCACAAAAGAGGTATTTACTCGTGTGACATTGAAAATTTACTATAATATACCTAACTAACAATAATAAATTCCAAAACAAAAGATTCGCAAAATAGAACGCGGAGAATCATCACATCTCTTACTTCCAACACATACAACGACAATAGAACACCAACCACCCTCCGTTGCCGAAGCATGCCATGACAATTTTCTTGGACGGACCCAGATCACGCAAGCTGCATCTACTATGAAGCGACGAAAAAAAGCTATTATAATTGCAATGACGGGTCTTGCTTCACAGGTAATTTGTCGAACTAAATCCTTCTACTCACGTGGATGAATTCAAGACTATTAACAAAAGTCATTTATATTATTGTGGCGACGATGTACTTCTTTGTAGGAGGATAGCAATGTTGCGGTATTTTATTTTTGTTATTGTAGATTTTTTGGATTATAGAATTAAAACATAAAATTTGATGTTATTATTTTCAATTAATAGGAACAAGCTGGTAAGTCTCTTAGTAATACTTATTAATACGAAAATTCGAATATGGTAGATTTATCAATTAATTATCCGATTTCTTTTCGGGTCATAACTAAGGATGTAATGAATTTTTGACCAAGTAAGAAAGAAATATTTGGAATTTGCATTTTTATTGTAACTTATCAAGAATATTAATCACTCCTTATATTTCACAATCCAGACCTGTTTCGATAAAAACATTACATTCACGAATGGAAGAATGGACACGTGAAGCATTGAAAAGACAACACGAAGAAGCAGCACAAGAATCAGCATTATTAGAAGAAAATCAAAAGGAAGCATTGTCGCCATCATTGTTATATAGTAGTCATGCGGAACAACATCTACAAAACTTACTTAGAGCGGCAAGAATGCAACCACTATCATCGGCTACTACAACACACGTGTCGATACCAAAAGAACGTAAGTGGGAAGAGAAGGTAAACACGGGTTAAGAATATCATCCTCATCATCGCCTTCAATACAAAGAATACCTTCTGGTTATGGCGAAGATACTACCGAAAGCATAGTTGAGAAATCTTTTTGCTACTACACTGGTCGTTCCTGTTCCGGAAAATAGATCTAAAACTACTACTCCTTCTTTACTAGAAGCCTAACGTTAACTCATTGCCTCCTCGCCTATTGCATGATAGATAATATCATTACACACAATTTGTAGAATAGATTTTATAGATTATATTCACTAATACCAAAAAAAAAACTGATATACGAGAATATTATAATAATGGTAACTTTGAAATGCAAGTTTGATACGTTCGTATGTAAATTTATTGGATTTTTTTTAGTTTATAATTGGTGTGAAAAAATTAATTTAAAAAAAATCATTATAAATTTTTATTATAAACTCTACATAGAATAAAGAATTTTCTCAGAATTATTAATAAAATTCAATTTGATATAATTATATTTAAATACTCACTTATTATAAGCTATAATAAAGATTTTTTGATTATATATATAACATATTTATTTTTTACTTATATAAATTAGAAAAAATTAAAAATTTTTTATATACATTATAATAATTCAAAATAATTAGTTAATATATCTAAAAATAATAATAATATAATATATATAAATTTTCTTATTAAACTTAATAAATTTAATTAATTAATTATTTTCTTAATAAAATTAATTAATTTAATTAAAATTAATTTTTTTAATATAATTAAATAATAATTATATTTTTTAATTTAAAAAAAAAATATATATAAATTTATGTAATAAAGTTATTATAAAAATTTAACTATAATAAAAATCAAAAATAATGCGATGCTTAAATTCTTTTCATCTTAAAATTTTAATTTACTAATAAATTAATGAAAATTAAAATGGATTATAATATTAAATTTATTATTAATTAGTCTTGTTTTTATTAGAAACTTGACAGAAATCAGATGGATTGGCCAAATTATCAGGTTCATCTTTTCTCACATAGATGTCAGGCGGGTGAATAATGCTCTATATCAAATAAAATTCACCTTAATCAAAATATATCTTATATATTCAATCAATCAAATTTATTTTTGTCTTAAGATTAAAATAAAAAATCAGACATTCATGGTTAGAAAAGGTATAGCTGGTCGTTCTTGAGAACATACTTGATCTTTGCTATTATAACCTTCGAATTTTTCGGCTCATAGCGTTTTATCGATCATTGTAGCACGTATATTGTGATTTTTGCTGTTTGTCGTTCAACGCATGTTTGGTATAATCCATTTATTTAATATATATTTTAATACAAGAAAGTCAGTTTCTTAATAAAAATAAATTTTATAGATGATAATTCGCCCACCTTCATCATTCGTTAAAAAATTATCCACATCAGAGATTCACTCACTCTATTGTTAGAGGGAAACGGACATTACTAACACGGTAGTTTAAATTATTTATATTAACGTTATAGCAATAACATGTAAGAGCGCCCAAGGGAAGACGAAGTCCCACTCTCACTAGCCAAGGCGAAGCCAGCCAGCTACTTGGGGGTTGTCAATACGTCACGTTATTGTCCCGGTGACCGGAACGTATTCTAATTCTTAGTTCAAGGACGCCGGGGGAAGACGAAGTTCTCTATCACTGGCCAAGACGAGGTCAACCAGTTACCCGGGGGTTGTCAATACTTCACGTTATTGTTCCGGTGACTGGAACGTATTCTAGTTCTCTAAACACATGAAATTGCCTAACTTTAAAACCTATCAGCACTCTATAGAGAAATAATATAGAAAAAATAAACTGGTAACATTATTCTTTGAGATAAGATCTATCAAACTACCAGTTAGAATTTTAAAAAAAAGATTTTATAAGTATTTAAAAAACAGGATATTTTTGATCAAAATTGAAACATATCATGTGATTTTTTATCATGTGAAAATAATTTTATTGATCAATTTTTTGATTGATTATTATAGTCTAGCACTTGTAATCATAGTCTGCATTATCTTATATTATATTTTAATGATCTCATATTATTAATAAATATAATATGAGATCATTAAAATATAGTATTCTAGTATAAAGTAATAGAAGCAAGTTTACAATTTGTCTAGAAAAAAAGGTTGATATTATTATCAAGAAGTATAATAAATTATCTTTGAATTATTATTAATAATAATTATTAAATTTTTAATAGAGATATTAGATGAAGAAATTCAAATAGAAGAATAAATCAAAAAAAAATTGGTTGAGTTTGAAGAAATAAAAAAAAGATTTATTAATAAAGTACTTAAATAGTATAAAATAATTATAAGTTATTTAAGATTAATATATATTAAAATTTCAAGAATAATATAAAAACAAAAAAGTAAAAAGAAAAGCATATAAAGAAAATAAAAAAAATTAATTTATTTTTTTAATCAATTTTTAAAGATATTAATATATTAATATTAACAAGTATATTAATATTATAAAATTTATAGACCTATTTAAAGAAATTAAATTAAAAATACTTAATAAAAAAATTTATAAAAATTAATTATGATAACTTTATATATAATTACTTATATCTTTTAAGTATATATTAATTTTTATAATTATTATTAGATAGTAAAGATAAAATTGATATTAGCAATCAAATTTATAAAATAAAGAGAATTATATAGCTAAATATATTTGAAAATAAAGAAATTATTTTGTAAAGACTAATAAACTTCTTGTATATTATTAAAAAAATATATAAAACTTAAGAACTTGATAAATGATAAAGATTTTATTAATGATTACAAAATATAATTACAAAAATAAAAATTTGAGATATATTTTTTTAATAACTTGAAGTTATATATTAAAGAAATCTCATTTTCAAAATAATTTAATCATATTAAAAAAAATATTATTTCTGAGATAATATGTAGAAGATATATATATTTATAAGAATATAAGTATAATAAAAGAAAAAAAATATTTATTTTAATAAATATAAGTAATTAGATATAATAATATATAGAAAGAAATAATTAAAAAAAATATTTATATATAAGAAAAATATGAAAAATTTTAATAATAATATATTTGATATTATATTGAAATTCTAGTTTAAATTAAAAAAAAAATTTATTTAAGTAATATGGATTGGTGCAAAAAGATTTATACCTCAGATAAATATTAATAAATTATTTTTTCAAAATAAAATCTTAATTCTGTCTTATTTAATTAAGTTATTAGATATTAGGATTTATTTAAATATAAAAATATTTATTATATATCTTTTATAAAAAATTTTTTTACTAATAATAACTTTTTTCAATTATTATTTCTTAAATTTTACTATATAAAATTTGATTAAAATTAATATAAAAATTATATAGTAAATAATTTAATTACTTAACTTTGAATCTTAATATTTTTATAATTACTAATTTAATTTTTATGAAATTTAGAATATATATTTATCAAATCTAGGACAATCTGCTTATATAATTTGAAGTTCTAATATTGCAAATTGATAGTAATAATATCTAAAATATCTTTTTTTAAAAAATAATTTTATTTTAATTTTTTTTAGTAAAGTAATACTTTATTTATTATTAAATTAAAATATAATACAATAGTTAAAATAATATTAAAAAGTTAATTTAGATTATTTTTTATTTAATATAAAAAATTATAAAGATTAGTTAAAATTTGAATAATTTTTTTTAAAAGTAATTATTAATTTTTATATTAAGATATAAATCTTTTTGCACTGATTCATAAATTATAATATAATTTAAATATAATTATATATTATTAATATATTTTCTAATAGCTAATTAAATTATAAATAAATAAAGTTATTTATATAAAAAGAAATTTTAATAAGTAATAAGATATTAAATTATAAGAAAAATTATCTAATATTTTATATTTATAATAGTTGTCAAAAATAATGTATTAGAAATTAAATTTATTAATAAAACAGAATAAAAACTGAAATTTTCTCTCTATATTAAAATTTATAATTTTATTAAGAAAAATTCTTATTTTTATATCAAAATAAAAGTTTATTAGTTGTAATTTAAAATATTTTTATATTTTTTTCAGATTTTTTAGATTTTTCTAAAAGAGTTGATCTAATTGTAAAGTTGACACAAAAGTTTTTATTAATTAAAAATGAAATTTAATTAATAAAAATTTTTGTACTAACTTTACAATTAGAATAATTCTTTCAGAAAAAATCTTAAAAATCTGAAAAAATATATATTAAACTAAAACTAATAAACTTTATTTTGATATAAAAATAAAAATTATTTCTTAATAAAATTATAAATTTTAATATAGAGAGAAAATTTCAATTTTCATTATATTTTATTAATAAATTTAGCCTCTGATGCATTATCTTTGGCTGTTACTGTATATTGATTAATATAGAAAAGACTGAAAAATACTAAAAAAAGTAAATAAATAAAATGATAAAATAATATAAATAAGAAAAAAATAAAGTAAATATAAAAAAATCAATAATATATTTTTCAAAATGAAAATAAAAGTGATTATTCAAAAATAAAAATAAAATCTGGCCTTATAATTTAGTATAATCTAAATTAACATGATTTATAAACTTATAAATTTAACATAACTTGCAAAATTATGAAATTAATATGATTTGTAAAACTATAAAATTAAGAAATAGTTGATTTTGAAATATCAGACTTGTAAGTTCTTAAATAATTAAATATGTAACTTTAAAAAAATATATATATTTCTTGAGACTATAATTTCTTGAAATATATATCTATGATATTGAGCTCATAAGATTAAAAATTTTTAAAGTGAAGTTATCAATCTTATAATTATGGCTGGATACATTAATCTCAATATTATTTGATATATCAAAATATAGGGCCTCAAGAATATTAGCTTTTTATTGTGAGCAACCTAAATTTTGAACTCTAATTTATTTATATATTTCATATTATATTGCACTAAAGATTTATATTGTCACATTCGACTAAGAAGTTAGATTGACTAAAGAATTAAAAATGCAACAAGGGTCGTGAGCTAGACTGAATAATTTAAAAAATAAAAAAGGTTAATAACACAATTCAATTCAAATAGGTTAATTCAAGTTAACAAATGCGAATCAAAATATCACAATCAAGTAATCAAATAATCAAAAAAATTTTTTATGTAAAGTCTTCAATTTGTTAAGCGTAATGATACATTTATCAAAATTGTTAATCACAAAAGTAATAAAGGCTATCGTTGGGTACAAAAGAAATAAAAACTTTCAATTTCGTTATGCACAAAGAAATAAAAGCCGAGCGCTGTTAAGGTAAAGTTTAAAAGTAATTTTATTGTTATTTTTCTTCAAATCACGAATTCTCGGACATTTGAATATATAACTTACAATCATAGATTAAGCGGGTCTAAAGCACAAAGAAATTTAGTAAGAATTTTTACAAAGAATATATATACTACAAAATTATTATGCACAATACAAAAAAGGTGAATTTTATTTAAATATTATTAATAGATCACGAAAATAAGTAAAGGAAGTGTGAAATTTGCTATGAAATTTTAACGATAATCAAAATCTAGGGATCGCAAAGATTTTAGTAAGGAATATTTGCTATTGGAAAGTAATGAAATAAAGCGGTATTAATGTTGATACTAAGGTAAGAATTTTTGTATGGAATTCTGTTTAAGTGTTACGGGACAATACTCATAATTTTTCCTTAAACAATAAGGATTTACGCATTATTCAAGTCTTTTTCCAAAATCACGGGATTTTTCATTGCTACGGCAACAATATCAATATTATTAATTAACGTTAATGTTTGTTTTTTAATTTGATGGTGATTCCGATCGTCAGGAATCGGGATTTTCCAAGCAGCGGAAAATATCAATTTATTAGCGCTTACCTTTTTTATTTAAATATCGCCGTATGACGTTTATCGGTGTTGGTACTACAGGGGATCGGATTTTTGGCAACGGAAAAAGGGGTAAACGCCATGCATAAGGAATTTCATATTACCCTGCATTCCCACGGGCAAAGTTAATACACCAAAAAAAGCTTTTATATTGTTAAATGCGTCTTAGAAATAGATTTGCTCTCTGGTCAATATTGCGACGGATTACAATCACCTTTTATCTGAAATACACTGTTGATTTTATGATAATGAGTTTGACAACTATTCTATAAATATGTCATGGACCCTGTTACTATTTTACATTGACATATCCATTAAAAATAATCCTTCTTTAGAATGCTTATATGGAGTAGTAATGATAACTATCGGAAATAAAAAAATAAACGTCAAATTATATACTAAATCGATATGCTTGAATCTCATTTTGTTCATTTAAAATATTCTTTGAGATTTTCATTATCGGTAATATACATATATGTTCCTTATACAAAACAAATTCTTATCGTTATGTAAAAACGCCTATGCCAATAACCGCTGTGTGTGAGGTGTTAAATTTAACGGTGTGCTTATATAATACATATAGCATTTAATATGATTCCGGTGTTATTATCACCTAAATATGGCATATACACGCACATATATTGGAATAATTAAATAATTCTAGGGAAATCGCGTAATATTTCTGATGTGATGCATATATACATTATACGACGAGAATAGAACCAACCTTACTCGCATGGGGAACCCAGCTTTTGACAGGATGCCATCGACCCATATATGATATTAAAATTCTATAGTTAATAACCTGGGTACTGGGTTAGAGGTCCTTCTATGGATATGGATAATAATAACGGTACAGATCGTTCGTTGAATAAAAGATAAATATTGTTCTCTGGCAACAGTTTTCAACGCATCTGTATTATAATAACATTCAGATCTGTTATTTGGAAGAGAATATACATTTATCGTTATTAATACGTATAATATCGATTAGGTTGATTTTATATATAAAGCACTTCGAGTTTGTATGGAGCATTAGCAAAAAACTCTGTACCAAAAAATTATAAAATAAAAAATGGCAAATTCGAATCAAGAGATTGATAATAATCATAACTTTCTACGTTATTCTTATTCAATCGCTGAAACTGCTACTCAACTTGATGAATTGCACGGAGCAATAACACAATTTACCTGGAAACATTTCGTTGAAGGAACTGATTTCAAATGTATTGTTTGATCCAGACCCTAGTTTTGTTTCAGATATTGAGCGTCATTGATCTGATAACGCCACGTTGATCAAAAAGTAGCAGAATCATAATTAAAATGCATTAAATAATCAAAAAAATACTATTCTTGTATGATTCAAATTCTTAATAATCTAAAATCCTACAATTTAAGTTCTTGTTACGTCTATGATTTTTGTATTTGATAAGTCAAATGTTTTTTAGGTAGTATATTCCGCGAGATATTTTATTAGATTTGTTGTGTTTTTGTCTCTATATATATAATGAGCTTACTTTTAATTCGTTCCTTCGGTTTTCTCTCTGTATCAATTTACTAGTAGCCTTTATTCATAGAAATACTGTCTTCAAATTTCCCTCTTCTTCATTTTGTTTTTTCTGCTATAACCTTTAGATTATGAAATTACGTGTCTTTTATGCTGATGTATAATCTCAATTTCAATGTTAGATTGTTTTGTAGCGTCAGGTCAAAAGTTTAACTTATATAAAGTTAACTTTCTTCTGAGGTGAACCTTCAAAACTAAATTTCACTTTCTTTATACAATTTATTATTAAATATACTATAATTTGCGCTAATTATTCATAAAAATAAAGAAAAAGATATGTTTATTTACAAAAAAAACTAAAGGGAATATCTCTGATATTATGTGATATCCTTAACAAGTCATCTATATTCTGTAAGGATTAATAAATTAATAGTAAATAAACACGCTCATCACGAATATTCAATATAACCCCTATAAGACATGGATGTCTGTAAACATAAAATGTAAACGCCTGTAAAGATTTCAGCACGTAGTTTTTATAGTAAAAACACGTAAATAACGTGTAAAATATTCTAAAGACTTTATCCTAAATATCATAAAGACAGGCTTAAGTGTCTATACTTTTAAAAAACGCTATTTAGTGCTGTATTTACAAATATTTGTAACTTTCTAAAATTCATCATAGACATTACAGGCATTCACATCTTATAGGGTAAATAAATAAAAAAGAAAATATCAACATACCAAATCAGAAAAGTCCTGCTTTATTTTTACTTCATCTTCTTTATGTTGTTGAGGTATTTGATCAAAAACGCTTTCTATATCGTCAAGACGCGTCTCAAGAATTTCGATATACTGAGAGTTCAAATCGCAATATTTACAATCTGTAGATTTTTTGAGATTTGTTGACCGGCGCTGTGGCGGATAGCAGTCACCTTTTATCTGAAAAAGATATTTCTTTCCTGTAGTATCAATTTCGTTGGGTCTGCATTTTCTTAAATTACGTTTGCTATTGTTGGTTTTACTTGATTTAGCAGCAACAGTTTCGGTTGATTTGTTGAATTTCATTTTTGATTGAGAAATTTAATAAAATTATAAAATTGATAAAAAACAATTGCAAAAATATTCAAGCGGAAGTGAAAATTTGTTCTCAAGATTGTTGATTGTGAAGATATCGAATGATAAGGTGATAAATCGTTGAACGAAAAAATTCGCCCGACCATTTTTATAATTAAGCTGATTGTATGATTACATCATGCTATTTATTACCAAAAATTGCATAGTATGAATCAAAATAATCCTTCTTTTTATGACTTTTTATAGGGCGAAAGTTTTGACCCTGGAACATCAATAATCCGAAAGAAGACGAGAAAAATCAAATGACTTTGAAGAATCGATCTTAGCTTACATAATTAATGTTCCTTTTTAACTTGCCTTAGCAACCCACCTGGATTTAATTTAATTTGCTTTGCTCATTTAAGCACTTTTGTTTAAACTCTGAGATTTAATTTATTTGCCCATTTATGAATTATTCCTTAAGCATATGTTCCAATATTCTGAAATTCTTTTTTGATTTATATTTACCGTCCTTATTGTTCTCCTAAGGATTTCTAATATTTAAATTTAAATTGTCTTTTTATGCAAATAAATTCCGCGCGTCGCAACGCTGCCGATTTTACATAAAATTAGTTAGTATAACCTGGGATCTGGGTAAGGAACGCCAAATCCGCAGATCAAATCGATAAATCATATTACTTTACACATGACTACGTGATGCGTCACATCAGCACCACATGACAATATTCATATAAAAAATATGGACATACAAGCATGCCAACATTGCTGCATGGCACGAAAGTTGCAACATGTAACTACAAATAATGAATTTCTTCTTATAATATTTATCATTCCTCTTATTTAGAAAATTATTGTTGTAACATCATGAGGGTTACATGCACGTTATTTTATAAATTAGATATGTTTATAACATGACTGACTTAGTTACGAAAACTAATTTATAAAGTTAGTCGGAACATTACAAACTAGGTTTGATCTAGCAAATATTTTAAATTTTTAATAAAAATTGGTTTCAGATTTCAGATTTATGTTACATCCTTTCATAATCTTTCATAATCTAAATTTGGATAGATACCAGATCATGTGTAACAATACTCGTGTCTTTATAACTAAATTATCGTTATGACCACATCATAAACTCGTCATGTGTGCAGATTTTTAAGTTCGCACACAAACACGGGTCATCAAATTTATTTATAAGTAAAGTTTTATGTACTTTGATCATAAGGATCGTCACAAGGTCGTTTTTTTAGGTATCTAAGTTTAGACATCTTCAAATGTCTTAGAAGTCAATGTAACATTTTTGATCTAATGCTATTCCTATATTGTAAATTTGGCAATGACACCACCATTTATTCGTTGAATGCAAAGCATTATGACACATGTAGGCACTATTTATCTCGACATTCAGAGTTCATAATAAGACTGTCATTGAGCGAAATCATCAACCAGCAAAGCTTATTATATCATTAATCAATAGTTTATAGCACATCTCATTTGGGAACTGGCTTGTCGTAATGTTTTTATTTTGCTCTATTTAGTTGTTACGATCTTTTTACACGTTAAATGAAAAATGATTTCTTTATTAGTCTTAATAATAACGAAAAAATTTTTACTATTTAATGATGATCGAAATCACAAATAAAAGCAAAAATATTCAGCTTGTAGCAAATCAACAACGGTTTGTCCAACAAGTATGAAATAATGGTGAGACTAACACCAAAAAATCATCATTGAAATTTGAATCGTCGTCATCGTCAATTTCTTCTAAATAATAACTAAAAGCAACGTCCAAGAAGAATAGATCGTATGACGACAAGGAAGTCAATGACATACGTTTAGTAGTTTCTAGTCGATATAATGAATTTTCCTCCTGAAACAGAAAAAGATATTTAGTGAATCCTTCGCCTCATTAAAAAAATCCTGCATCTTTGTTTGAATTTTACCCAAATTAAATTTAAGGGTATTTCTTCTTCTTCTTCTTCTTCTCTTCCCTTTAACGTGTCGAAAAACACCCCATTCCAATCTTCGAAATATGGCGTATATTGATGATGAAACTTTGACCTATCTTTTTCGTGTCGTCGTCGACGTCCATACTTCGTCGTTACATTTGTCGCTACTATGGTGGTGTCTATCGTGATTTGCTTTTGAATCTGGTCAGCTAAAAAATTAATTTCATTATCTAATGAAGACGATGATGATATCGTCGAAGAACTACAACTGCAACCGTCTTCTATCAGTAATGTTTTCTTCACCGACGAACCAGTAAAGAAAGTAACCAAATAAGAGATAAACCTAGAATAAAGTTTAATGCAAAAAAAAAAATGGATTTTCAATCAAACTTTATTACATGTATATCGTAAATAAAAAAATCATTTTATTCATTACTTTTCGCAAAGAGTTAGCACCATTAGAATCTTCTCTTGTGTGTTCGATAAGTGACGATAACCTTTTTTCAAAGGAACGTTAAACAGGGTAACAAACCAATTAAAAGTTACGCACAAAATACAAAAGTCACGCTTGTGTACACTAAATCAAGTGTAACCTGTTTCCAGACTCCGGACACAAAAAGTCAAAATACGTGTATTACATTTTAAGAATTCCTTATCGCAAGATGCGATACATCATTCGTTTAGCGAATATAGATTTTCTCTTATTGCCGCTAGAAGGTTGACTATTGTCTTGTATGAAACAAACTTATTTTAGTACGGTTTACAATTTAATTCAAGATCAACATCGACAATATATCTATATCTCGGGTTTTTCCCGCTTGCTATTATAAACGATATCATTCAGCAAAATGAATTACGAGTATAGGCCTGAAGGCTCGACCTAAAAGGATATTACAAAGAATACACGTCCTGCCGTTCAGTTAATCCATACTTTATATGCAATCTGACTAATATTATTACCTTGGATTTGTAATATACTCAAAAGAAAGAAAAAATTCTTACTCATCTGTGATAATGTATATAAAATACGTGTTTGACGTGATCTGGATCTAATACTAATGCAATGCAAATTGAATTTTGTTACCTTAAAAGATACAACCTTGCTGAGTCAGATTGTTTGCTATTAACATAAAATTCTCTTTTATTATTCGATTATATAATTTGTCATCATCATATTTAATTAATTTAGACATTATTAAAGAGAACTAACTTTCATGCTATGGGTTACACAGATTTTTATTACTTTTAAATTATCATTGTAAATTGAATCTTAGACTCATCTTCAAGATTCTCACTTTTTCGACCCATTTCATCTATCAATGTAAGAATATTTACAGCATTTTTCGTAATCAATTTGAAGAGCGGATCAATTTTAAGAAATTTGTATTAACAGGCGCTGTGGTCGCGATATCGGTTAAGATGATTTTTGCTCGTTCCCACAACTAAACGCTGTCGTCTGCAGCTAATAAAATTGATGGTCACAACATTAGTTATTGACTTTTTAATGAAAGATGCACAACTTATGTGATTTACAATAAATGTAATATGATCCGCATATTTAAGTATTTGGATCAAATGACATTTAGACCGATATCATTGTACGAAACCACGCAAATTGGTAAGGTAATGTCTGGCTATCTGGTAAGGTAATGTAATGAAGAAATATTATTACAAGCTTGGCAAATATTATCAATATTACCATTTTGGCTAATATTACCAATATTACCAGCTGTTTAGTAATGACACTAAATAGTATTATTTTACGTTTCCCGTACAACCTGCGGTTCATGATTTAACATACCGACAGTTCAAACTTCCGACAAATGATAAAAATAGTTTAATAATTGATGTGTCTTCTTGTAACATTGATCGATACAAAAAGCATGAGGTGCGATGCATATTTTGACGAAATTGTCAGGATTATGAGCTTTCGAAATGTTAAATTCTCGAGATTATGAATTATCTGGTGTTAAATTATCGGGATTTTGGTTGTCGGGATGCTTGGATGGTTCCCACTTACCAGTTTCCTTAATTATTAGATTGCGTATTCGATAATTTGTATGCCCGACAAACGACATTGCGAATGAAAAATCCAGAAATCGTAGATTTCGTTATAAACTGTCGGGATTGTGTTTCTCGGGATTTCGGACCAGATTCGCGTTGTTGTTGAAACCATTGCAAAGACTAAAAAGTTAAGCAATCGAGAGTGGGAAAGCTAACGTAGACAAAAACGAGGGTGAGAATTAGTAGGCAAGAGAAAAACATAATTAAATATTGCATTTGCTTCTAAACGATCTTTCTTCAACTCTGTCACCGGACATTTTGCAGATCATGTATTTTAGCATATGTGTCAAGTTCAATTCGCATGATTTCGTTATCATTTGATTCATCTTGACAAGAAGAATCAAATGGTGGTAAAATCTCGTGAATCGAATCATTGGTCACTGAAACACACGTTCCTATATGAACAAAATTGCGGCATCCAGAGTCCGATACATGTGATTTTTATCACCATTCGATTCATCGAAATCAAATGACCACAGGATGTAATCAAAAAATTAATTGGTTCAATTTCAATAACCAATCTATTTGATTCTTCTGGTCAAGATGAAAAACACAAATACAGTATGTGATTTGTAAAGTGTCTGGTGACTTTCTTCCGCCGAGTGTACATACATACATACATGTACATTCGGGTGCGTCATATGTCAGGTACCATAGTAAAAATTAATAGTACAGATTTTCATACATAAATTGATTGACAAAATCGTTGTTTTTACTAGTCCAAAATTAGTATTCGAAAAATTGTTCATTCCGTCTATTGACAATTAATGTATTGTAAAAAAAAAAAAGGGAATTACGATGTAAAATATTTATTTAATAATGTTATGTTAAGAAGAGCTTTGCTTTTGTTAACGATACATACTTCTAAGCTAAAAAGTAAATCGGCTTTGTTTTGAATCGGCTTTTTTTAGAAAAATTTAAAACCGTCACTTCAAAGAAAAAGTTTTTTCTTATTTCATAATAAATTTTATCGTCAAGTTTTATGCTAGTTTTAACTCTGAACCTTTTTGAAACTCGAATATGCCTAATCCTCAACGATTCTACTCAACAGTCTAAAATGCGTCTTTCGGTAACAAAAATAGACGAAATTCAAGTAACTGGTGAACAATTAAAAAAATATTCGAAAAAAAAGGAGATCAACACAACCAACAAGATTCAGATATACAGCAAGAACAAGCCGCAGATAATCTTTTTAAGGAAATTTTTATGTCGTTAAATTTTAATATCAAATATAGACGTAATAATTTGTAATCAGCAATCATGTGCAAATACACCTTGACGTTGAATTTAACTCAAATTTAATAATTAAATTACTTTATAGTGTGAACCAAATTATAGTTATCGATTTACTTGTTTGGTGTAAATTAAATAGCTTTTCAAAAAAGCCCTTATCTTTTTCATATAATCGCTAATTTTAGGTTTAGGTTACCATATATCGATATAATAAAATTGATCGACAAAAAATCTGCACTACTAATTTTTACTATGGTAGTTTTTTGATATGATGCACATACATTTACCTGACGGCTATATTGCTATTTTTATCAACATAACCAACGAATAATATTACATGTACGAATAATGTTACCCTATCAAGAAAGGAATCGAAAAGCTTACCTAATAAATTTAACCTTACCGGTTTGTGATAGACTCATTCATCATTGTAAACATTTTTTGGCACATGTAATAATTTCGTTAACTGTTTCGTTTTTCTTTGATATCTAAATTGTACATTTTCGTGTGTCGAATCATACGGTTATTTAACCAGTTAAATATGATTAATTAACGTACATATGAAGAATAGTAGCCTTGATAATACATATCGTATGATTAATGTGAACATTTTTTGGTACATGTAATTATTTCGTTAACTGTTTCGTTTTTCTTTGAGATCTAAATTGTATATTTTCGTGTGTCGAATCATACGGTTATTTAACCAGCTAAATACGATTAATTAACGTACATATGAAGAATAGTAGTCTTGACAATACATATCGTATGATTAATTATAATATAAACAGATGTGTATCTTATTCCGTTAATAGGTGTAGTGTTTGGAAAAGTTAAAACTATTTAGTAAGCAGTTAAACCGCAATGTAACTGATTTGATGATTGGGAAATTGATCAAGGGCTAAAAGTTTCAATCACAACATAAGTACATATGATGTTGCAAATAGATGGATTAAAGTTAAGTTTATTTTCCGCTTGCGCTAATACACATTAAGTTAAAAGTTACTTAATTTATCAATTTATTTGGCAAACTAATACGTCACCGATGTTGTAGCACCCCAATTTTTAAAATCTCAAAACATGGATTCTGGACCATGTACAGATGTCTGCGTTGATTATATTCTGTCAGCATTGCAAATTGCTAATTAATGTATTTATTTAAAATTCCTTAAAGTTTATAAATTAATATAACTCGATTTTTTTGATTCTTACAATTCATCAATAAATTAAATTATTATTGTATAAAATTGCTCGTTCATCATTACAATTGATGTCTAACAAATTTATATCAAAATTTTTCTGAATTTGATATGGATTAAAATTTTTCAGCTCTGTATCATGTATTTTTTATTATTTGCTATCAGAAGGTGTGTCTAGTTAAAATTTTTAATAATGGAATAAAATAATCTATCCTATTGAGTGGGTTTATTTCTTATTCTACAGCGGTTGCAGAAAATAATATATCAAAGAGTCAAATTTAGTAAAAATTGAAATTGTCTCTATACTTAAATTTATAATTTTATTAATAAATTTTTTTACTTTTATATCAGAATAAAGTTTATAATTTATAATTTAATATTTTTTTCAGAATTTTTTGGTCTTTGAGGGTGATATTCTAATTATGAAGTTATCACAAAAGTTTTTTCTAATAAAAAATAAAATTTAATTAAAAATTTTTTCAAAAAATATATATTAAATTATAAATTGTAACTTGATTTTCATATGAAAATTAAAATATTTTTTTAGTTAAATTTTTAAATTTATAATATAAAGAAAAAATTTTAATTTTTCTATATTTTATCAGTTATTATATTATCAGGAAATTTTTTGGGAAGATATTCATTGAGAATTATCACCATATCTGTAGAAATTGATAAATATCTCTCTGAAATATCAATATTAATTGACAACTCTGATAATTTTTAATAAATATTCACATATCAATAATCATTATTAATACATTATTAATCAATATATAATAATATATCAATTATTATCACAATATATTATTTATCAATAACAAATTATATATATTAATAGTTAACTCAAATACTTATTTTAAAACCAGTTTATCATATTAATATCAGTTTAGATTATATAATCTAGATAAATATGTATATACTTACATATTTAATTCTTTTCAAGACTTAAAACTTCTAAATTAC